CCCCAAAACCCCAAAACCCCAAAACCCCAAAACCCCAATTTAAGTTAACAAGATTGAAAGTGAACAATTTAGGAGACAATAAATTATTCAGTTTCTTCCAACTTGGGAGCCTCATAGGTTGGATAAGCAGCAACACAGTCATTCTCAATTCCCAAATTGTGCTTGTGCATTCTGATTTTGAAAAATCCTTGCTCTCCCCAGTAAGTTCCCCATGAGTTTCTACCAATCCAATACTCTGTTCCATCATCAGCTACACCATATCCAACAACTGAGATTTCATGGTTAATCATAGGGAGAAGGTTGAATTCCTCATAGATTCCTCCTGTATAGGCTTCGAATTTATTAGTAACATGAACACCACAAGCAATTGGACCATGAGTAACAAGCTCTTTCTTCATTGCGTTAGCTCCTTTAACTGATTTGTATCCAGATACATAGTAATGTTTATAATCAATAGCCCAGCAATGATCAAATCCAGTCTCACCTTCTTCTGGAGGAGGTCCTGTGCATTCTCTACAGACATTGAAATCTGAGCATACATCAGTCTTCTTCTGGACATTCTCGGCAATGTATTGCTCACAGGAAGCATGGGGGATTCCATTAGCCTTAGCATATCTGTATACACTTGCAGGTTGGCCTCCATTGCAGCTTCCTCCAGCCTCACAGTTTACAACAACTTGTGCAGAGAGAGCTACTTGAGGTTCGCTGATATCATTGCTCTTTAGCCAGTTGAGAATATTGAATCTATCAGCTAAGGCAGAGGTAGTTCCTTGAGCCCAGCATGATCCACAGTAAATTGGAATGTGTTGATTCTTTGTCCATGATAGATAATTCACACCATTATAGTCTCTCCAGTCAATGGAATCTGGGAGATCAGAAGTCTGAAGATTTTTGACATCATCTGGCACGTTAGTTTCTTGGTCTCCATACCATTCATTTGACTGTCTACAAGGATGTGTCTCTAAAGGATGATCATTTTCCTTGAAAGATCCTGGATACGGTCCGTTCTTATAGTCATTTCTAGGATCATCCCTTTCCTCATCTGTTGTTTTGTGTTTAACGTTTTCAGTCCAAGTATCGACAGGAACAGCAAAGGCACAGTCACTCTCAATGAAGATGTTATTCTTTCCTCTTACAACCTTAAAGAATCCGTTCTCTCCCCAGTGTTCTCCCCATGAGTTTCTTCCAAGCCAATACTTAACTCCATCTTCAACTCCATATCCTACAATAGAGATATCATGGACAGGGTTAAGGTCTCCGGTTTTATCTTCATAGATACCACCTTTGTAGTCAGAATAGAAATCTTCAGGAACAGCAATTTCTCAAGCAATTGGACCTCTCTGATAAATTTCTTGCATCATAGCTTCTTCTCCGGTAACTTTTCCATAATCTCCTACCTTATAGATATTGAACTCATCTGGGATGAAACATGGCTTGTGAGGCTCACAGTTCCTGCACTTAGTAACAGGGGAGCATTCATAACCGTTAGATCCGTCTCTACCATGGTAGATGGAGCAAGTTTCGTCAGTCAAAAAGTTATCATGTCCATAAGCAAAAGCATTGATTGGGAATCCTCCATTGCATCCACGATCAGCATCAGAGCAAGATACAAAGACTTGTGGAGCGATGTTGATATCTGGCCAAGCCCCTTGTCTCATGATCTTAATTCTATCAGAAATAGAACTTGCTGAGGCCTGAGCCCAGCAGGATCCGCAATATTGAGGCACATGTTGGTTGTGAATCACTGTGAGGTAATTTTTACCATCAACATTGTCCCATCTCCATTCTTCTGGGAGATCATCAACATATTCAAGAGGCTCGGTAATGTGGTCTTCAGCTTTTATAATTCCTTCTCTGTTACCTTGGTAGAACTTCATCTGCTCATATGCATTCATATCTGCAGCGATGCTCAATGCAATGAGAGCCAATGTCAGAATGACGAACTTCATTTTATAATGATTTGAATAATTAAGGGAAATAAATTCTATTCTTTTATTTTAGGGAGGGGTTTTGGGGTTTTGGGGTTTTGGGGTTTTGGGG